TGAACTCTAACATTATGCTTTTCATAAACTTCAGTAATTTAGCGGTTAAATTCAGCAAAACCAAAGTCGAACTTAATGTTTTTCAGCTAATTTTCTACTCTCCCATACCTCTGAACTGAAAATTATAGCCGAAAAAACTCTCTAAAAAAAAAGAAAATGTTTTCTTGACACTGAAAATTTTAATTTCACCACCAACTTTGACTTACTCTATTTAAACGTCGATGAACAAATATTCTTGTACCTTTTTTTTATTTTTCTCAGCAAGACGGCTATAGTTTCTTTCCAATCATAAAAATCAGCTGTTTCAAATCCGAAATCCAGTTTATGATGAAATAACGAAAGGCGAACCTCATAAGTACAGTTTACTACTAAATGAAGCAAAAGACGTCAGTTTTGAACATACTTGTCAATCGTTTTCTGATTGGCAACGTTTCCTTGGACATTTTGAACAAGGATATGACGGAAGGGAATCGCGTTTCCTGAGGTTGAGTGTATCAATAAATGAGGTCTCTTTTCATCAGAAACTAATCTTGTGATAGCCTGTAACGGTATCACTGGAACACTTGAGTCAGACCTATAATAATTTTTTACATTAGCTATTGCAGAAATTATGTTTTTATTTCCAATGTATCTATGTTTGTTAGGTGTCAAAGTTTTCAACTCGTTGAATAAATTTAGCAATTTCAACAAAAAATATCAAGTTTTTTCATGTTCAAGAAAAAATAGTATTTTTAGCATCAATTTATTTTCAAAATCAATAATTAGTCTATTATTTTTTTCTTTTTAAATATGTTTCTTCATCCACTGTCACCGTAGCAAACAACTTTCCAAACTGCAGAAAAAAACCTAACAGTTAAACCTAACAGTACTTGTTACGAAAAAATATTTGTAAAGATCAAATGACTGATAAGTTTAACACCTTCCCAAGTTTTCATCTGTGATGAAATCTAAGGAGCCTTCAGAAGGCTGCAACAGTGCAGAACCGCTGCGAGAATTAGACCAAAATGAAGTAAAAGAATCGCGAAACTGAATATCGTTGTAAGCTTTGGAATATACGCTTTCGATATCATACGTACTCAATGAATCATCATTCTGAGCTAATTCGTCAATTCTTTCTAAAAAAAGGAGCATAAGGGAAATTTTGGAACAGTACTGATAGATTCCATGTTGCATTCTGCGTTACAGCAGCATTTATAATAGTATCAATCTGGGCTTTATTAATGGCTTTGAAGTATTCCATTTTACAATTCAAATAGCGAAAGATCAACTGCTCAATTATTTGCAAAAATGTTGAAGTTTAATTCAAAAAAAGTTAAAAAAAATATTCATTGGAATTCAATAAGCTTAATTTTCGTGTCGGTTAATCTAAAAGAAACTTGAAAGATAAAACAAAACAATTTACTGAAAATTCAATAAGAAAAATGAGTTGCTTTACTAAAAAGTGAATTTGTTAGCCTAAATAGCAATTTTTTGAACATATGTTTGTCATAATTTACAAACTTTTGATATGTCTGGGAGACTAGCTAATGAGCAAAATCTACTTAGATATTCTGATTCTTAAAAACGACAGCGCTGAAGACAAAATGACTTTTAAGCATATTTGTGTATTAACTGTTTTAGACTATCAGCTGTAACAACTTCGGCATAATTACTCTAACAAACTATCAAACCGAACAGAATTTCAGTTGTATTTAATTTTCTAAACATCGCTGGTTTAGTATCAAAGACGGTTTGAGTGGGTGACTACAACTGACAACCTTGTTTATAGCAGCATTTAACACTGTACTCTTACAACAACAAGCTGCAGTTCCTATATTACGGATTTGATCATTACGACGCTCAAACTAATGTCTTCTATTGTTTTTCAACTTGACATTTGTCTTCGTGCACTGACCTACTTTTTGGATGATATACAGCATCAACAATGAAAAATTGTACAAAAACACTCTAATGCCAAAATTTTTTGACAGTTTTTGTTTTTGGGTTAGATCTGACGCATTAAAATGCAGAAATTTGACTTCAGGACCTACCAAATAACCCAGAAAATCAACGGATGTTTTTTCACTTGCTGTCTTTTTTCTTAACATTTAACCTTATTTCCACAAGTCTCTAATGCTTTTAAAACCTTTGCTTTACGATAGCCTTCAGAAATGAGTTATCCGTTACCTTCTTTTGAAGCTACTGTTTGGTAGCTAAAGGTGATTTCTAGAAATTCAAGAATTTTCAGCCGAGTAAGAGGTCTGATAATGACAAGAATAAAAGCACTTAACTCTTTATTATTGTTTAAAGATTTAAAAAATCCAAAATTAATTTGAAAAAAAAAAAACAAGAAAAGGAGAAAACATAAAAAAGCCAGCAGACAACTGCTAGTATTTAGTGAGGAAAGCAAAATGCATGTAAACTAGAACTACTGGAAAATTAACGATGGATTAAAAGTATCGATGTCGTCTGGATCAAACTGCTGCTTCTCCTTTATTTATTTATTTTTTTTGAACAAAAATGATGGGGTTTTTGTTTGAAGTGTATTTGACGCTTTAAAAGCTTTTAAAGAAATGGGATTTGATTTTACATCATGTGATACTTTCATTCAATGACGATATAGCTTTAAAAATCTTCAGGAATTAATTTATGCGTGTTTATCTCGATTTTAGAACTGAAAAACATAAACGTCGGTATGTCTAGTTAAGTCTACAAGTCCAATGTGTTCTCCCGGTTTCTTGGTGTTTTTAAAACAACAACAGTCTATAAACATAAAATTTTGTGATGATTTAAGGTTGATACTGTTGAAAACAATATTTTATAGAAAGAATCTTTTGTTGCTTAGCTATAAAAAAATTTGTTCTTTTAAAAGTCATCATTTTGGCAGCTACCTTTCTTTCTTGTTTAGCAGTGCCTTACGGTAAGTGTGAATGCTTATGTAGTGTTTAACATCAAAAGAGCTTATTTGTCAAAAGCGAAAATAAATGTTATCAAAAAGAAATTTTTATCAAAAAATCTTGTTTATACCTGCAGAAAAATCACTCTCAGAAGTCGCCAGGCGAGTAACATTGGTATTATAGAGAGGCGTCGAAAACTTGCCGGTTTTTTCATCAGTACAACAGTCTGTGATTATTCGCTCAAGTTTTTCATTGGTGACAAACTTCATAAACAAAACTGACCTAAAAATTGTGCCGCTATTTCTTAATAGCTATTCTGTTAAAAAAATACCTTCAAAAATACAAAATTAGGCAAGATATTTCATCTTCTAGAGTTAGAAGCAAAATACGTTTTTTTTTTTTTTTGCAGTTTATCTGTTCTTCAAATAAACTTTTTCTCTTTTTTCAAGTAGGTATTGAGTGATAAAAACGAATTATTAAAAATTAAAAAACTTTTGCTTCTGATTTCCCAAACTTACTTGAAGTGATCGCTGTTGTGATGGTCTTTGAACTTTCTAAACATTCTTAGCGCTTTTAGGAATGATGGATTTTTGCGAAACTTAAACGTTAACCAATGTCCATGGCGTAAAAATTGTGACTCTTTTTTAATAGCTTCTGAGCCAGCTATAAGAGCTTATTTTATTTAAAATAGCAAGTCAGAAATTGTCAAATTTTCTGGATACTTTTAGCTGAAACTTAAGTATAAAACTTACGATGTAGCTTGAAATCTTCCTCATCATTATCAGAGTCTGAATCATAATGATACATTTCAAGACGAGAACTAATTAATCTACTGGCAAGCTTTTCGGCAAGCCATTCTTTGAACATATTTTTGATGCCCCAACTTTTTTCTTTCAGCGGTGGAGGAGGGCATAAGTTGTCTGGAATTAAGAAGCAATTATAGCCTCTGGAAGTAAGAATGTAGAAAAATTTTTTTGCTAAATAGTTTCATGTTAAAAAGTTTAACTGTAAGAGTAGCGCTTTTAGGAATGATAGACAGTTATATATATAATTATCATAAAATTTGTTATAGATTTATTGCTTTTCTGTAATTAGTTAACGAAAAATTATCATAAAACATTCAAAGAAAAATTCTGCTTAGAATACCTCTGTTAAATAAGACTTTTTCTCAAAAAGAAAAAATAAAATTTTAGTAGACCTAACTCAATTTTTTAAACAATTAACAAATGCCACATATAGTAAGGTATTTTAAGTAGCAAGAAAACTTTTGAATTACGATGGCTCTGAATTATGTATTTTTTATTGATAACTGTATCAAACAACCTTCAATATTCTTTTGTTTGTTAATCAACGAAGCCACTTTTTCTATCTCTTCCATACACTGTTGCAGAAACTGATCGATCATTCTTTCCACGGTTACCTGTAAAAAATTATTTGGAAAAAAATAAAGGAAAAATGAACTGGCAAAGTTGTGTAATGCAAAAATATATTCGTTGCAAAAAGTTTGCAGTAATTCTATATTTATGTAACGAGAAAAATTGCACTACCGAATACAACAAATCCGAATCCTTATGGGCATAACAATTAGACTGATGCAGAAAGTTTAGCTTTTTTACAACAGAACATTATATTAATAACATTTCTAGTGAAAACAAATATTTAAATTGTAAATGTATAACGTGTTCAAAAAATTAAAAGCAAAAAAGTGATAAGCAAAAAAAAAAAAAA